GACATTCTACAGAAGGTTAACAGCTACCTGAAGTTGCCTTAGTGAGGAGGAAGGTGTGTGTTCGTTTCGTGTGGAGACTCGACGTTTATTAGTGCGGAGCCGATATATTTTAGTCGCATTGTTCTGAGTGAGACTCCATCAAAGGTGTCGGTTTGAGCTCTTGTAGTGGCGCATCTTGGACGCATCGCATCAACCGCAATGTAGTATGTACATATCTCGGACTTCATTTGTCTGACGTCGTTCTGAGTATGTTTGGGTGGTGTATGGTTCGGGATTTGATAGCGCATAGGAATATACCTGTTGATGGATTCGGTATCCTTTCAACGAGTTCAAACTCACAGCCATGGCACAGGCGAGATGAGAAGAGTGGAAAAATTCGAACGTTCATTCCCCGGAGGAATGCTTCAGGAGGTCTAGACAGCACCTGTGAGCGCAAATGGACGTGGCTATTAATGTGAACAAACCCTCCTTTATATTTCTCAGATCCGTGATTCTCATTGCGGTGCACAGGTCAGTAAGTCACAGCAATGAAATGACGTTAGGATTCTTGGAAAAGCACTTGCGTATGTTGTCCGAGTCGGGTCCATGACTGGTCGCTGGAATGACATTCCTCTTCAAATCAAGGGGAATTTAGCACTTTTAAACACATTACATTCATCATTTCTGCTTTGGATTATGGTAAGGGGTTCCATTGATACGGATCAAGTGGCTGTCCTGCTGCGTTGGAGTTCGATAAGTTCAAGCTGAGTTGCATAGAAAATTGAACGTCATCGGATCTCAACTTGACTCACCCGTGTGGATTCTGCCGGACATTGGCAAGAGATATGTATCAGCAGTCTCTAAATGATGATATCAGCGCGGGAGTCTTCCTTGAACAACGCATCAAGCTGAAGCCGCCCTCGCCACTACTAGAGAACCAAGACAAAGAGAAAGCATATGCCTGCAGGTCCTGATACATCGGACCGTCATCCCTACTTGCTCGCATGATTCTTGTCCCGTCGTTTAGACAGGTTCAGGACTTTCTTCGCGTACAGTCAAAGTTTGGCTGATAAGGAATCTTTAAAATTAGGGCTATCAAGAAGGGCGCTCAGACGATCAGAGAGTACTGGATTTATCTGATCCACTCGAGCTATTATTATCAAAAGCACTGTTTGGCGTGCCAAGATTACTTCTGTTACGTGCTGCACCGCTTCAGGAACCCGAGGTACAAACGCACAGACGAGAATCGGGTAGACGAGACCAGGTTGAGGCAGATAAGATAGACCAGTCGATAGAGAAACGCAGTTGAGTGTACGGGCAAGATAAATCGTGTTATCTTCATTCAGATCAAAGTCCGTAACATCGACTAAAATGCTGGTCCCTGTCGTGAGCTCGCTCCTCGACCACAATCTCACTTGCTTGCACTCGTTGGAGATCCCCTCGCACGTGGTGGTGGCGTGAGTTCGGTATAGATGTATCCAAGGAGAATGGCATGGCTATGGATGTCGCGGTCTTGGGCTGAGAGAGACAACGGTGTATTAGTAAAGGGGAGAAAGGCGAGAGAAGGCGACGTACCTGCAGCCTTGGTTAAGCCATTTGTTGGATCTTTCGTGCGTATATATGCTGCTTAGTTAAGTGAGGCGATCACCATCGCTGACATGACAATGCTCCCACACAGAGGGGCGCCTTGTAGAGGTGATAGGCGTGACGAGGTGATACTGTTTCTCCATGCGGGTAATTAGCTCCCGTACGAGCCAGTCTTTCGTATGTATAGGCAAGGATTTCGATATACTTCCCTTCATGTATTCAAAATGTAAGACTTGTGTTGGTAAGAGAGCCCGCAGACTACCTTCGACATTAGTATAACAATTGACTCGTCCGAAATGGTTTACGATGGTCTTCATTAGGATCGTGACGGATTCCTTGATGCTTCTGTTGGTGGGGATGACGAGGACGCCAAAGTCGGGGTTCTCGGGGATGATTTTGCACTAGAGGGCGGCAGCGCAGTGTGGGTCAGGAGTATCTCCAGTGAGGGAGAGTCGGCGTACAGTGTATTTGATGAAGGAGAGGGTGGTGTTTTAGCGGAGCCTCCTCGGCGCCAGTGACGAGGACAACGCCGAATGTACGGAGGTTCACGATGACTGGGGTGAGAAGTCCATGAACTGAAGGAGAAAGAAGCCAAAGAGGCATAGAGAGTGCTTGGACAACATACCTTGTAACATTCCTCAGTGGAAAGATCGATAGTACACTGAATCCGCAGACTTCACTCCAAAGCACATTCCTTCCCCAATGCGCTTCGCTGTTACTTATACGCGTGTTCGATGCTCCTAAGATTCCATCTTGGTCTCCTGCGATAACAACGCATTAGCAAGCGAGATGTGTCATGTTGGAGCACATAGGGTGTCGTTGAGAGCTGCGAGCGCCACACTGCACGAAGATCATTAGTCCCTCCACACCGATACTCAGAATGCGGAGACGTACATCAAAGATACTCCTGTGGACTGCTAACCCGTTATATACCAACAACAGATCCCGCTCCTTCCTGACTTGTGATCCAGTGCTGACGTCGGTTGCAACACTTTGGTCGATACCGACTCTACTGGTAGAAGATATTCGCAGCGGGTACCGCGGAAATAGGGTTTGCGTACTGACACGTCCTAGTCGCATAGTCGGCGCTTAGCAACGACGAGGATGTATGCGGGCAGAGTTTGAGAGTGAATGTGGGTCGCGGAGTTATCGGGGAGTATGCTGGTTTTGTCAACAGTCTGGCCTCCATTCGCTCCCCGGAACGTTTTAGCGCAATTGGTGAGGCCGGGGTAGTGAGAGGGAGGAGAATCTGCGTGAGCGAGAAGAAATTAGCTAACGAGAAGCGAAGTAAAAATAGACTGTGTACCTCGAACTCCAAGAAAAAATATATCCATGTCACAGGTCTTCGTGAAGAAACGAAGGGATTGGTGAAGAGTGCAGAGACTGAATAGCGATGTACGGTAGAAACTCGAGGAAGGATCGCGTGGAGATGATGGGGAACGGAGAAAGCGATCAAAAGCCGAGCACGGGCTTTGCCGAACACCAGGCCGTTTCCGGCATTCACTCTCAATGTCATCCTTTCGCTTCGGCAACTTGGCAAAATTTTAAATAACACACAGGAAAAGAAACACGCCCATCCACAGAAAAATGGTAGGCCAAAATTACACCTTCCAATTTTAGAGCCATGACAAGCTTCCGGTCTCGAGACAAGGATGAACGGTTTCCTTCCCAGCCGTGACTGTGCTGGGGGGCCTCTTTTTCATAGCGGCAGAATCCATCATTTCCTCGACAGTGGAGATGTACGCATCAGTAGGGCCCGAGTTTGATGTTCCTACCTGTCTTTCTTTCCACGGCCTGTACAACTTTCACGATGTTAAGTATTAACTTCTTTGATCCCAATCCCTGCGTGTTTCATAATTATCAACCCGACTGTGATTTGCGTACGTTTCCTGTATCGTTAGGTGGCATGCATTCGGAGTACATTGGAGTCATTCTTTGCTTTTCCGTCAGCTAACGGCGTAGGGAACCTCACCCCGTATCCAAGCGAGCTGCTGTTTCCAACAGTTATTTCCTTCACCTTGCGTTCTTTCGCCCCGAGTAGTATTTGCGCTCTCATTTTGTTTGGATTACTCTCCCCCGCTCAATTGGATCTGTCGTATGGCATCTCACGAGCTTTCATGGTAAACGGTGTTTGATTTATCTATCGTGATGGGTGGTCGGAAATGTACAAATCCCGAAGTGTCGGGAAATTGATATCCGTCGATCCTCTATACTAGAACGTCTGTCTGGTCAACTGAGATACGAATTTGTGAAGCTGCTAATTTTGTATGAATCGAGTACGGATAGAATACGTACCAGAACCTCGGAGGGTGCTACTTGGGAGGGACACAACTCTGGGAATATTTGCAGGTCGACTGTTTGGTTTTATGAACGTGGTGTTTTTGTCACTCGAGGAGATTGACGTGCGTTCATGGGGAATCCATGGGCGGTGTCAGAACCGCTATGGATTGATGAGTTCAGTAGAACCATTTAATAATATGTTAAATCCAAGGATCAGTGGGATGTCAAGGGGAGTTTAAATAGCCTACGTCGTGCGGCATTGGTGATCTGAGAGATAATATGGAGCGTGGAAAGTCGAATCTTCTATCCTGGATTTTAAAAGGGAGGCGATTTACTACTCGGTGCTTTTTCCTATCTTTCCAGTTATACTATACCACCGCGAACCAGGCTCCTTTTCATTTCTCAGATTTCCGTGAGCCTCGTAAGCGAGTTGGAGACATAGATCATTTACATGACCTCCAATGCATGCGTGACGTGTTCGACGTTTTAACTCCTAAATTCTTGTGAATTAAGTTCGTCTCGACAATCCATACACCGAAAATCCTCTGTATATCCTTTTACCGTGGATCTATCATATGAACATGGCGGAATTCTCAATTCTTCGGTTAGACTTTGTAAACATGGAGACTGGATGGTAACCAACCGATATCAGCAAGGATCAAAAGAATGCGACGAGCCTATATTTCTGCTGTGTTAAAGAGGCATATCATCGTCTACATAATGTTACGGGGTTCAACCTCGAACCAGGATTTCGAGGTTCACTTGCCAAGCAACGGCGGGGGTCAGAGTCAGTACAACCTGCATATTAAAACACGTGCTCTGAAGGCGCAGAAGATAGGAAACGCACATGATCATGCAAGTCGTACTTGTTGAGAACTCTGAGTATTTCCTTTCCAACAGCCTCGCCCGTGTGTGGACCATGCATCCACTTGAAGTCTAGCAGCTGTGGCTCAGGTGTCCGCTCTGTGCGATTGTCTGTGTTGACTCGAATATAACAGATGGTGAATGCAGGGAAAGGATGACATCACCGTGTCGACCATCTATCATAAGAGACGGAAATTCGGGAGGATATGTCCTGCCAGTGAATGGTTAGTCCCACACCGCTTATTGTACATTGAATATACCTTGTCATGATTTTTGTCTTGTGGGCGACATTCTCCGCTATTATTGTCCGACGTGGAACATCAGAATCTGATACCTTGGGTCGCAGGTACTTTACTCGGCTGTGTAGCGATGGTCTCTCAGTGATTCGAAATGCCTGCTTTCCCTGCACCGTCCATTTTCCGCGCATCGGGTCGGAAGTATAGCCTTAAATCCGTAGCCTCAGCATTCCGTATGCATTTTGTCGTAATCTAGAACACGATTAGTGGGATGTTATGGCAGTCGTGCGTTCGCCGCTCTTTACTTTCACCTTCTAGTATCTTTTCTTTCCTTCCATCTCTGACTCGTCGCATGCGTCATCGGCTTTTGGCATGGTACCGTGATCTTCCTTGGACCCGGAAGTATCTTCCAGGATTGGATTCATAGGGGCGAGCTGAATAGTGCACAATCAGTATCACTGGTGAGTTCAATAACAAGATCAAACCCACAGCTGTCTTTTGCCTCTTCTTTGCACTGGTCTCATTGGACTCAACGTCCTGGAAATTTCGCTTGGGCAGACTACGCTTTTCTGTAACTGGTGACGATGTGGGGGAGTATTCCCATACGATTTGGTCAACGGTCTTCAGAGTGTCGGGGTTGACGGCTTCTCCGTCTGGCTTGTCAGTATCTTTGGGTATGTCTGTGATCTTCAACTATTGAATATTCATTAACCAATGCGAAATCTCTGTTCAATGTAGAAAATACCTTTCGACTGGTCTTTGACATCAAGACTGAAAAAATGTCTTTATGCTTCGAGCGTCGGCAGCTATGATTGACAGCGCAAACTGAGGTTAATGGACTGAAGGAGCAGTTAGGCAAAGATGCATCGAGAGGACTTGGACAACATACCTCGTAACATTTCTCCGTGGAGAGATCGGTAGTACGCCGAATCCGCAGACACACATGGTCGACTTGACTCCAAAGCACATCCCGCGGTGCTCCAGCAAAGTACATTCCGTCCGCGACGCGCTACTTATACGCGTGTTCGACGCTCCTAACGTTTCCATCCTCGTCTCCTGCGATAAACACACACTAGCGAGCGAGATGTCATGCTTGAATGCATAAGGTATTGTTGAGAGCTGCAAGTGCCACGCTGGACGAAGAGCATTAGTCCTCCACACCGATAGTCAGAAAGCAGAGACGTACATCGGAAGCGACTTAATCTCTAGCCCCGCCACACTTCAACCACAGATCGACATTCTTCACGATATGCAATCCAGGACTGTCGCTGGTTCCAACAGTTCGGTTGATACCGACTCTACTGGTAGAAGACATTTGCACTGGCAGCAGACACATCCTTATAACGTAGTCGCGTAGTAGGTGCTTAGCGAGATAGTAATGACGAGGATGTGGTCGCAGAATTATCGGGAGAATACGCTGGTTCTGTCGACAGTCTGTCCTCCATCCCGCTCACCGGAACGTTTCCTCGCAATTGGTGAGGCTGGGGTAGTGAGAGGGAGGAGAAGCTGCGCGCATGAGAAGAAATTAGCCAAAGAGCAGTGAAGTAAAAATAGGCTACGCACTCATGACCCCCAAGAGAACGCGTAAGCATGTCACAGGTCTTGACCTTTTTGAAGTCGTTGAAGTTCGTCAAACATCGCTAAAGGCGTGAAGCGTGAAGAAACGAAAGGATTGGAGAAGAGCGCGGAGACTGGGTAGCGATGTACAGTAGAAACGAGAGGAAGGAACACGTGGAGATGATGGGAACGAAGAAAACGATCACTGAGAGCAGAGAATAGGCTTTGCCAAACACCAAGGATTTTTTACAAAACATCTCCGGGCCGTTTGCAGCATTCCTCTCCTCCAACTTTGACAAGGCGAAGGTGACACACGAGAAAAAGAACACGTGCATCCACTCACAACGGAAAAGGGAAGACAAAATTACGCCTTTCATTTATCGTCGTGAGGAGTTTTTGTTTTAGTTTTGACTTGGGACGACAATAAATGGATTCCTTCCCATTCACTGCAGCAGCATGGACTTTTGGATGCGTCAGGAGGACGTCTACAACATACATCGTAACATTGATCGATATAGGACACAGAATTCGCAGTAATTCAAAGCAAGGTTTCGAGAACACCATGATCCTGACCTTCGAATTATATCAGTTACAAAACACAGCGACTTCCCTCCAACACACGTACCGGTACCTCTCCAGAACCTCCATTACCCGCAGCACTCTACTCAAAGATAATCTCTCCGCAATCCGTTGACCTCACCCGCTGCGATAAGCAAGCGGGGAAATGTCACGCTAGAGCGCATACGGTATCCTTCGCAGTCGTGAGTGCCATGCTGCACGAAAAAGGATTAGTCCTCGACAATGATATTGAGTCAGAATGAGGAGACATACGTCCTAAGATCCTCCCGTGCACTACTGACCCACCATACACCGACTACAGATCCAGCATCTTCATGACTTACAATCCAGTGCTAACGTTGGTTGCAAAAGCTTGGTTGGCATCGGTAAAGGAGTTTTGCAGCGAGAACCACGGAAGTGGGAGTCGAAGCTAGTAGTGACGAGGGTGGGTGGGCAGAGAATCTACACGCGCAAAGAAGGTTAGCTAACGAGAACCGATGTAAAAATAGACTGGACGCCACGAACCTCAAGGCCCGGGCTCCGGAGAACGCGTATGCACATCCACCGGTCAGTCGTCGTCAGAAATCCACTCAAATGTTAAGTCGCAAGTGAACGGAACGATTGAAGAGAAAGGCGGGTAGACCAACGGGAAGGAAGACGCGGAGATGAAGAGAGCGATCAAGAGCCGAGAACGGGCCACGCTGTTTTCGGGAACAACGGTCCGGAACCCCTTCTCCCCCACCTTGATCAGACGAATACGGCACATTAGGGAAGGAACACGCACGTTCACTCATGCAAAGGTAGGCCCAAATATTGCTCTCTATTATTGAATTCTGACGTATTTCCATCCGGACGCGGGTCTTACTAACGAATGTCTTCTTAACTTAGAACGGGAATCTTCCTCGAAAATCGCATCAAGCTGAAGCCGCTCTCGCCAGTAGAGAACCAGGATAACTACAGCATACGCCTACAGACCCTTATAGATCGGACTGTCATTCCCATTTGCTTGCATGAGTTTTCTCTCCCTGGTTCGGGACTTTTTCGCAAATAGTCAAAAAGTGGCTGATAATCGATTTTTAGAGCTATCAAAAGAGTCCTTTGTATGCGTACCTACATCCTTCGTAGCCTGTCTCCTGCTTGTCCTGTATTTTTAAGGATCGGAAGATGAAGGAGTCTACTTTGTGGACATACCAAGGAGGAGACAAAACAAGTATTGTATAAGTAACGCGTCTCCATTCCAAGTACACCTTCCTCCGAAATATGCCTCGTCATCCCGGCAATCGTGGTCTCCTCACCCTATTCAAATCCCACCTCAATAATTGTATCTCTTCCATACACCGACGCGACGCTGACACTCCGAGTGAGAATTATATCATGCTGTGGATCCTGTTGATGAAGTGTCTCGAGGAAATGGGTAATGATCTTGATCGTGATTCAAAAAGTGACGCGACGGCTAACACATGTTTATCTATGCCAACGGGTCCTCGTTTGTGGAAACGTTTGACACCGAAACGTGCGACGACCACTCCTCCTCTTCATCCCTAGTCCGTCTCTCGTATCAACGACCCACCTAAACCACCGTCCCTTTCCTCACCGCAACCTCCGCCCTCATCGCCGAGGCATTTTCTACTCAGAGCTCAGAGCTGTTCTATATCCACTGAAGTGGAAAAGTATAAATACTGTTGTTTCCGTCTGCTCTAGTCGCCATGTACCGATAATGAATACGCATGACTCATACAACTGCCTTACTTTTTGCCGAAATAACGAGCCTCGCATCCTCCTCCTCCATGTACGTAACACTGCCGTTTGCGTCCAATTTTGACTGGCTCTGTAAATCCCCAAAGCGCATATTATTATCCGGTGAACCCGGATTCGTGTTCCCGGATTGATTTCCAGAGGCAACTCGAAGGAGTATCAAAGTCGGCGCAATGCCCTGCGAAAATTCATCAGTGAGAATTTTCCCTCGATGATTAGGATATAACCCGAGACTCACTGTAACAGAAACCAGAACAACTTGTGGATAAAGACTGTATGGATTATCCGTTGCAATGAACGGGATGTAGACCACTAGTGCGACGACATATAATACAGCTGATTCTACCATGATCTCCATGACTCGGTAGTACGGATTAGTGGCAACGGACAGAGACAAGCTGGTAGTTCTCGCTTGAACCAGCCGGTACACGATGAGCACCGTACATATGATTGTCGTCGAGAGTGTCATGCTATAGTATGCTACTCCCCATTTGATAGAGGTGCTCCCCCACGGAGTCGAAGAACCGCCTTGAGAACCGGTAAAGGGTGTTAACTCTTGAATCAAGAAGAAAACATCGAAGACTTGGAATAGTGAGCGATTCGAGTTATGTTCAGAGTCGTAGCGACTTACGTATCCCGCAGATTGTGCATACGGATGGAAGGACGATGACCCTCCAATTCCTACCCCATATGACCCAGCACCGCCAAATCTAGGAAAACGTCGCATCAAAACGTTGATCTTATAGAGGTCTTCCGCAAGACTTACGATTACACAATCTGCCGTCAATATATTCACACCCGCGACGACACTAGCAATCGTCGATACCCACAACGGACCACCCGCAATAAGTGAGTCTATGAGTGCGAAGTACCTGGTTTCCTCTGTCTGCCCATTTGTGATGAATGCCCGTCTAGCATAATACCATCTCATAGCGATGTGGATCGTTACCATGATATACATGAAGATGGAAATTCCAACTAGGACCTTCGTCTGACGCCTATGGAGAACGTTGATCGACACTATGCCCTTATTTTATCAGTCACAATCTCATTGGAAGAGTTTACTACGCACAAATCCGCCACAGTAAAACTGCCACTAGTGCCGTGTATATACCTAGGTTGCGATCAGTACTTCGGCAGATGTAGTTTGGAAGATAAATCGCACCGTGTGCTAGGGACTCGATGATAACTGCATTGAACCAGGAGTCAGACAACTGTATTGCAGCTACTTGGTCAATTTGCGACATGTCGTCAAGCTACCTGTCGGGATATCGAGAGGGGAGAAAGTATCTGTCAGTCAAAAAAAAATATGCAAGGTTTATGAACACGTCGAAGTGTCTATCAAACCACCATCATTCCTAAGCAGAGTAATTGCAGACTAACTATCCTAAGAATAGGAATACATGACTCACTGATGAGAGTGTCCAGGCCACAGTATTGAGATGCACAGGTCTTGATCATTTCCTTAGGGATGACGAAAGAATAGCCGGTCTTACCATTCTCGTCTACTGTTATCGTATTGATTTACTTTCTCATGGATATCTCGGGGATCCAGAAATCTTTGAAACCATTGGATATGACGCCTATAATGTCATGAGTTCCCGTGGATGATGAATACAAAACATGCCTTATGTAGTTAGAGGGATGATTCTCAATTCAGTCCGGGAGAAGCAAGTTATTACAGGAGTCCAAGGCGATGTAACCCGATTTCCTACACATTTCAGTTCCAAAAACCGAAACTTCATAATCAACGGGATAAATTTTTGATCCACATCGCTTACCGTGATACAAACCTGAAATGATGGACTCGAAATTCTAAATGTAACGCATTGAAAGGCATAAATTCATTCTGATTTGAAGGTAAGCGTCGTTCCATCCGTGGAGTAGTGAAACAGGTAAGCGCTCAGACAGCTATGTCAATTTAATTCCACAGTAACCTCGAGAATATTATGTCTTGTAAATGCTATGACTCACTGGCCGGTATACAACAATGAAAATCACGAGTATTTATTGGATCTGAGCATGGCAGCCTGCCTCCCCTGATATGTATTCAACTCTTAGAATCGGCACCTAGC